ACAAATATAGGAAAACCACTTTCTTTTAATTACGATTCGACAACGCACACATTGAGAGTAACTCCAAAATTGAATTTTAATATTGAAATATTCAGTCAAATTACAGAGATAAAAATTGAATTGGAAGGAACTATCGATATTATTTCAATGGGTGGAAATTGCTTTGTATCCTTTGGAGAAAATGTGACAGAAGTAAATAATTTAACATTAACCAAATCATTTAATGCGAGTGATGTTGTTGTGTTTGATTTTGAGAATGATAAAACTTACAATTTAATAAGTCCAAATTGTATTCTGATGAAAAGATCGTTTTTAAGTACAATTTGTTTAAAATGCAATTCAAACACAAAACTTGTAAATGGAAAATGTGTTGGTCTATCACAAAATTGCAAAACAATTAATTTAAACAATTATTGTGTCGAATGTGAAAATGGATATCATTTGAATGCCAGTAATGATTGCGTACAATTTAATAACAATTGTCAAGTTGGTAATGAAAATGTGTGTATTAAATGTGTAAGTAATTATGTTATTGATAATGGACGATGTACAACAAACAAAGACTGTAAAGCAACGAATGGGATTAATTGTATTAAATGTTATAAAGGAGAACTCAACGCCAATTGTGGTTCATGCAGTGATGTCAATTGTATGACATGTGAAAACAACAGGTGTAGAATATGTAATGATGGCTATTATCTTGGAGATGATGGAATGTGCCAGTTAACAATCGACACATCGATTTATGTATACAACGACATTATTTACTGTAAAGATGGGTATTACATAGATACCGAGTGCAAAAGTTGTTTAACAAATAATGCGAATTGGATAAAATGTGATGTTGAGAAGCCAATGAAATGTTCAACAAATTATGAAATCACAGAGAGTGGTAGTTGTGAATCGACAACTTGCAAAAACAATGAAGAAACAGAACAGAATGGGAGGTGTTCTGTAACACAAGATAATTGCGTGTTTACACTCAATAATAATTGTGTTGAATGTACTGATAATTACAAAATAGATGACAATGGAAATTGCATACAAAACAGTGGAGAAATTAAACAATCCAATTGTAAAGAAACAACACAGTTTGGGTGTGTCAGTTGTGACGACAAATACTTTTTATTGTTTGGGAAGTGTGTGAGTTGTGATAATAATTGTTACACCTGCATATCAACTTCAACATTTTGTCTTTCATGCAAAGAAGGGACGTTTTTAAGTGACCACAAGTGTATTACAAACAACGACTTGAATGGCATTTGCACACAGTTTATACCATCGGGTGGCTGTGTCAAATGTAATGATGGATATTACAGAAGTGGGTTGTCTTGTGAGAAATGTGACGTCAAATGTGGGACTTGCAACAACAAAGAAAGTTGTTTGACATGCAACTTAACAAATTATCGAACGTCCAATAACGAATGCAAACCACAAAGCGACATTGTTGGGTGTCAACTAAAAACAACACAAAATGGATGTTCAAAGTGTTCTGATGGGTATTTCACAATTAACACAAATGAGTGTGAGAAGTGTGATGCGAGTTGTTTAACGTGTGTACAAACAAAATACGCGTGTACTTCATGTGATACAAATGAAGTTTTGGTTGACTCAAAATGTGTTGATATTTCATCAATAACAAATTGCAAAGAAGTTGGTCATTCAAAATGCACAAGATGTTCATTTTGGCACGCACCAAGTGCAAATGGCACTTACTGCAATTCACATGTAGTGTGGTGGATCATACTAATAGTTGTACTTTTTATTATAGTTATACTGATTGTGGCGATATTGGTGATTGTGTTAATAGTAAAACACGTCTCAAAATATTTGAAAGAGAAGTCCATTGAGACAACAACGACACTCTTTGAAATGTCAAAGTCGAACATTCAATTTTTGACAGTTGGTGATGGTGTTGTGGTGAATAAAACAAAAATAGTTTTCAACGATGGCGAAGAAGTTGAAGTCAACGAAAAGCAGAGAGATTTGTTGTGTGTTGGTAATGTCACCAAACACAACATGAAAATTCAAATTTCAACAAAAACACTCACAAACCAGAAATATCAAATTGAAAGTAATTCACAAATAGTCGTGTTGCCAAAAGGCTTTGCGTGTGAATTTGAGATATTACTGACACTTTCGTGTACTTCCAAAATTGAAAGTAAAATACTTTTAGTGGCAAATTCGTATACACAACAAAAAGCAATTTGCAAGGAAATTGGGATTTCTGCTGTTTCAAAATTGTCGACGCGACTTGACTCAGACGAGTTAATAGAAGAAAAGAAAATAGGAGAGGGCTCTTTTGGTGTTGTGTACAAAGGAACTTTCAGAGGGAATGTTGTTGTTATTAAAAAGATGAAAAGTTCTGAAGACAATTCACTTGATGAATTTAATAAAGAAGTTTCAATGTTAGACAAATTCAGGTGTGAGTATATCGTTCACTTCTATGGAGCCGTGTTTGTACCAAACAAGATGTGTATAGTCACTGAATTTGCACAATTTGGGTCGTTTTTTGATGTGATGAACAACAAAAATTCAAACGAAGTTGACATGAAAATTCGAGTTAAAATGATGAGAGACGCAGCCAAAGGTATTCTGTATTTACACTCAAACGGGATATTACACAGAGACATTAAACCAGACAACATTCTCGTGTTTTCATTTGATTTGAATGAAACAGTGAACGCGAAATTGACTGACTTTGGAGCAAGTCGAAATATCAATATGCTGATGACCAACATGACTTTCACAAAAGGTATTGGAACACCAACGTATATGGCACCTGAGATACTTAAAAAGGAGAAATACAAGAAGAGTGCTGATATATTCTCATTTGGCGTGACCATGTTTGAGTGTTTTAGTTGGATAGAAGCATATCCAAAAGAAGACTTCAAATACCCATGGAAAATAGCCGAGTTCGTGATGTCTGGAAAGCGTCTTGAAAATAGTCATCACATTCCAAACAACATTTTTGCAATAATCACGTCTTGTTGGTGTCAAAATTCAATTGACAGAATTACATCTGAAGAAGTTGTATTAAAATTAGAGAAAATTGTATAAAACAAATATAATTAAATTCATGCTGTTACATTTCTTGTTACTATTTTAAGATAATGATGGTTTATTATTTTTTTATAATAACAATAAAAAAATAAAACATTGTTGTATTTATTAGACACAAAGTTTGTTATTGTTATTAGAACTATTTTTTGCTAAAATGATATTATATTTATATATAGTTATCAAAATATTATATTAATTCTTTTAACAATTTCAAACAATTTTAAATATAACAAAATACATTTCAAACTTTATAATAATAATTTATCTCCAATTATCATGACACAGTTTTTAAGTTTTTATCAATTGTTCTTTTTAACACAATTTACTTGAAAATCACATTGCAATAATTTACTGATAGTTTCAACTAAAATACAATTAAATATAAATAAACAAATAAAAGACGTGACGTGTCGACATGATATAAGAAATACCACAAATTGGTAATCATTCAGATTTCGTGGGGCGGTTACACAGCTTCAATGATTGGTGCAGGTAAAGGCCACGGTGGAATCATTCTTGCTACTAATGGCGCCATTATGTCACAAGTTGGAATGACAATTCAACAAGCAGAAGCCACCACTATTGCAAATGCCATCATGTCTGGCAATGTCGGAGACTTCCAGTCAAAGGGACTTCACATTGGTGGTGTCAAATATACTGTCACAAGAGCTGACAAAGACGAGGGAACTGTTTTTGGAAAGGCTGGTGCAGCTGGTGTTTCCATTTACAAGGGAATCAAAGTCATTTTGATTGGATACTTCAAGGACGCATCCGTCTCTGCTGGACAAAACTCAGATGCTGTCTACAAGCTCAAGGATTACATGGGACAATTGGGATATTAAATTTAATTTACTTCTTCATCATTATTTGTAGCTGATTATAAAAAATAAAGTGAAATAATACTTGTTACTTATTTATCATCGTTATTATATGCGTTTATTAACGTAAATTATTTAGATTTACATTAAATAAATTTTATTGTATATAATAACCATTAATTTTCATAAGTTAATTGTTCAAAAACAATTGATTTATTTAATTGTCTGATAATAAA